CTATAAGCACACTTGTCATAAGAGCATGATGGAAGTCAATTTATTTGTGACTTGACTTAGTCAGAGAATTTCTGGAAACTGAAAATATATTTTAAAAAATCACACTTGTCGATGAATGTCATGTGGGCTTGGGTGACTGACTTTTAATTATTTCATTAGTAGGTTAAACTGTCTGGTTCTATCCTGCCATCTCTCAGGCTAGGCAGGAAATAAAGGAAAAGAAGAAAGAAAGAGGAAACACAAAGAAAGTGTGTCCCTTGATAGATTGATAATGTGTCCGATTTTAATTTAAATATTGAGGGACATGTCATAATGGTCATCCAAGCATTTTTTTAAATTGTTTAAAACATAATCTGTTTTTTGTTTTAACTCTTCTTTACTGGAATCATCAATGCACATTTTCACCTTGATAATTGATCATATTCTTAACATCACCAGTTAGTACATTTTCAATTACTCTCTGAAAAATAACACTTGCTGTTTTACACCATATGATATACAATTCCATTTGAGTAAACCTATCGAAGAGTTAATCATAGTAACATGTCATTTTGTATCTGGTTACAGACAGATTTAAGGTTAGTTTTGGCAAAATATTTTATTCCCAACAGAATGTGAAAAGCAGTTTTAATGTTAAGAATAGGGAACAAATCAGAGCATATTTTGGGCTTTACACCTATTTTGTAATCTCCACATATTCTTAAATCTCCATCTGGCTTTCATAAAATGACAATGGGTGAGGGCCAATTACTATCACCAAGATGAAATACTCTAAAATTCCTTGCTCCACCATTGTTTTTAGTTTAGCAGTTACTAAAGGTTGAATGTAAATGGGCAATTTGTGAGATTTTAAAGTAAGAGGGGGTGACTATTTTCCTTTAATTGGATGCTTGCTTTGTACCCTTTTAATATTCCTGTATCAGTTCTTTCTGTCTTCACACTGTTGATTAATTTTGTGTATCAACATTTAAGACATCTATTATCTATTTTCTTTTTACAATCTGGAAATGATCTTTCTTCTCACAATTCCAGCATATTTGTCCTAAAGCTTGACATTTTTTCTCATCCCATTCATGCTCTTTATTGCAGTACTTGTATCATATAGGTTAGTTCCATACACTGTATGTTTCAACATTGCTCTTAGATGTATGGAATTTAACAATTCTAATTATAGCAGAAACTTTTACTCAAATGTAATTGTTCTAAAATTTTGTGTTTATATGAAGCATTAAACATACCATTTATTAATCTCAACAGTATTAACTCATCTTCTATTGTCACTTCTCCCATGCAAATTCTTTTAAACTTACAGAATCTTGAGGCCTCTTGTAACTTATACAGTTTATATACTGTATTATCATTTCATTTAGCTCTTGTTTGCTCACAAAAAAACTTTGTCTTCTCTGTGATAACCAGCTTTTTTTGTTGGGGGTCAGAAATATTTTTTTATAATGTTCAAATTTCTGAAAATGTTAATCTCCTAATTTTTTTGGATACTGCCTGTCAAAACCAAAAACAGATCTGTAATCTCATTCTCCTCTCCTGCAACTTTGTTGATATTTTTTTTTAACTTCTTGGCCCTCACCTTACAACAAATCCACTTTTCTGCAAAATCTGTTAAAGATCCTATTGGCAATGCTATGTTGATGTGTTGTTTTCCAGTTTGTAACATAGTGGTAATTGTCCACCATTGTTGACAGATGACTGACATTTGTAGTCATTTAATTTTATACAAAATAAGGTAAGTCCATTTTGCTACACAAACCTTATATATTTGAGTTTCTTTCTCTTGCTTTGTAACCTTCTACTCTTCTCTGTTTTGTTTTTTATTGTTTCTTAAATGCATTTTTAAATTAATACTTTTCCTTTGCATCATTTCCCCGACTTTTTTTTCTAGTACTTTCATAAAACAATTTTCTACTAAAATAGATGAAAATGTAATCATTCTGTTTTGAAATATTCACAAAGTGGCTCTTGACTTGTAATATGAATTTTTGATGAAGTGATTATAAAAAGCCCAAAACATTTGTATTCATCCTGATTTGTGTACAAATGTTGGGTCAAAGGTGAAATATTAGCATTTGGGCCTGGTGTTATGTTTTCAAATTTGCCTGCTTGAAACTTTGGGAAAATGCATGTATCTAAAAATTCTCACTTCAATTCCATAAGAAATATATAGAGATGCTAGGAAGGAAAATTCAGTTTGAACTCTCAGCCAGGGAAATTCTCTATATACTTGGAAAAAAATTACAATATTAAGAGCATTATGAGTAGATAAGGTATGTCAAGATAAGTTAATTTGGAGTTAGGGTAATGATTAGCTGAATTTTAAGATAAATTGGTAGGCAAAGGATATTCTTAGAAAAATGATAAAGTAGATATTTGTTGGACAACAAAGTTACGTTTGACAAAAGTCTAAAATAGTAGAACATCCAGTCATATTTGAACTTAACCAATTTTTATGAGGTTTTATGAGTAGTATACTCTCTAATCAGGTGCTACATTTGTTAAAGATGAAAGAATATGTTGAAGAGGATTAGGGTTTAAGATCATTAGATTAGTAGAGGGTTTGGCCACACAAGGCCAAATCATTGGAGGAATGAGCAACAGAGTTAAATTTTGTTGAATGAAGGAGAGACAGGCCAGCCAGTTATTTTTTGTTTGTTCTGTAAAGAGCTTTAGAGGAAGAGTTTGTCTTGTTTTTTTAAAAGAAATTTTGAATTAAAAACATTGGACTGTATTGACAACTTTGAAAGAGAGAGAGAGAGAGTGAGTGAATTTTAAGATTGAGAAACCAAAAAAGTGTTGAATTCCAATCATTATGAAGTATTTTTTTTTGTTTTCATTTTGGAAGAGAGTGTGGTGAGGTGGCAAGTAGATCTATATTAAATGGTAATTTGTTTAATTTCAATATCTGTCTATATTTCTTAGATGAGGTATTGTAATTGTTTACATTATTCACACTGTTGTCTTCATCTTTATTGTCATATTCACGTTTTGGCTGTTGTATGCTCCAGCCTTCTTCAGGTGATTGGAATATTGAACTGAACCCTTTATTTCATCCACCAGGGTAGATTGTTCCACGTGCCATGCCTCTTCCGGATGTCTCAGTTATCTCTCTCTAACTCAACTCTTCAAGTTTTGGTTTGCCACCGCCAGGTATTGAACTCTTTTTAGGTCAAGTCACTGGATCCAACCAATGCTTTTATCCACTGGGCCATGTGTCCTTGAAGACAATCTACCCCGGTGGATGAAAATAAAGGGTTCAATTCAAAATTCCAATAACCTGAAGAAAACCAGAGCTTACAATGGCTGAAACATTGTGAATATGGCAATAAAGATGAGGACAACAGTCCAAACAATGTAAATATTGCTTAATTTCTCTTATTTATTTATTGTGGTTCTCAGAGCTATAAATTCTTCCTAAGCAGATAATATCCAAATCTTTTACTATAATTTCTCCTATTCTCAAAACTTCTTAATGGCACCAGCAGGCTGATTGGGATTCTTTTCATGACTTTATTCAAGATGTCCCTTAGATTGATATTATAATCATTCCCATTGAGAATTATGCAACAGAGGTTTCTTCTTTGATTAAAGCTAGCATTGATGCTTTTGTACTTTCTCTCAAATATTAAGTGAAACCACAATCCTTTCATTGGTTCACACCAGCCATTTCAGCCGCCATAGCCCATAGGAACCACTTTTTCTGGTTTTACTAGCATGATAATTCCAATCACAACAGATGCCTATTTGTGATTGTTCAAAATAAAGAGGTTAAGTCTTTGATACAGTGAGGTACCATATAGTCTCTAAAAAGTTTGGTTCACATGACCACTGGCAGTTCTATAATAGTGTCTTAAATAAGAGAAAATCCTCTATCTTTCCTCTCCTCACTCAGTTTGAGGTGTTAACATCGTCTACTAATACAGCAGAATGTTTTGCTTGTAAATTCTCTTCTATTTCTACTCTTGACTCATCTAGAGTAGCTTTGCTTGACTTTCCACTTAGAACTGAGTCTCTATTGAGTGATATGCATATAACTCTGTCCATGGTTACTGCTATCCTGTCTTAACTGGGTGCTCACAAAGCATATGGACTTGATGATTTTCTTCGCAATAGTCATTAAGAAATCTGCCCCTGAACTGACTCCTATTTTCTTTAAACTCTACAATAAATGTTTTCCTGCTTGTTGGAAATCCTCTTCTGTAATTCCAATCTTTAAAAACTTAGGCAAACATCTGATCCTTCTATTGGCCTAGTAACCTTCTGCCTTTTATTGGCAAAGTACTAGATGCTCTAATTAACTCTGAATTGGTTAAGCTTCTTACATTAGAGGGTCTTCTTTCAGATAAGCAATATGGCTTTTGCTTCTCTAGGTCAACTGCTGATATTTTTTCCTGTTTAGGATTGAGTTTCCAGTTCCTTTTAAAGTCATCTTATTCTCTTTCATTCCCAGTAGGCCCCCTTGCATCTTAGTAGCATTATTAGCTTACCTGGGGTGAATTAATTTTTTAAAAAATGGCAATATACTAGTTTTCCAAAACAGGCCAGTACAGCCAGGCAACAATGCTATAAGAATGCAGCAGTTAAAGTGTTAACAGGTAGTTTGTTTTTACTGTGATGTTTACAATAAGTTATAGTTAGCTTTTCACTGGTTGTTTGGCTACCATGGTCATATGACAGTTTCAGCTGAACCTTGTAAATGTGTTCAATAAATGTTTTGATATCTAACCAAAATATTTATTATGTGTGTTATTACCTTTTAAATAATGTTTATGTAGTGTTTATCTTCAATTGCAATCTGATAATTCTTATGGCTAGCTTGTATTTTAGAAGTACTTTATAGTATCAGTCTGTATAAACTGATAACTGATATTTTTACAACACTTCAGTTAAGGATAAAACCAATCAAAGGAATCAAAGGAACAATATGTATCCAGTTCCTTGTTTGTAAATTGAATGTTTTTAAAAATTCTTAAAACCTTTTTCTTCTTCAGATGCTGCTTACAGTCTGTTCACAAAGAAATCACAATTGTTTGCTCTGAATAGCAACAATGCTTTGTTACAGTTTATCCTTGAAGTAAGTGTTCATTTGGAGCAAATGTTTTTTCATTCTTATGTTCAAGTTTATCTTTTTGCTTTTTCAGTTGTAAAACATTTTTTAAATTAATATTTGACAAAAAGAGAAATGAATTTGTTTTTAAACTGAAAAAAGGAAAACAAAGGAAACAAAAAATGAGAAAAAATTTTCTTTTTTAAGATACAAATGGAGGATAAAAAACAAAAATCTAAATAAAGTTTGTGACATTATTATTATTGGCATTTGGAATCAGTTTTTGGTTGGACTGAGAACTTTTCACCACTCCTTTGAGTGTGTTCAATTTTTATGGTTAATTAATTAATTACCATAGCTAAATAGTGTCACAAATGTTTATAACAGCATCAATAATGTTGATTATGATTATGATGATTGTAAGCACTTCTGGTACCACAAGGGAATGCTGGGAGCAAAATGGATCGACAAGCAGTCTGAATAAAATAGTTGTTAAGTTTTCACATCTTGTGTTGAATCAACTTTTTCAGCAGCTAGACTCATATAATTTATTTTCCATCCTAAGCCCAGTGGAACAGTAGTTATACACTGATGGAAAATAACATTGTAACAATTGGAATATGTGTTTCAATTAACTCAAGATTAAACATATAGACAATATATAGTGAGATTACAGCAGATGATTATATATATATATATATATATATATATATATATACACACACAAATCAGTACATATATAGGTTCCAAAATAAGATGTGTCTCAGCATTACTTTTATTCACCTTCCCCCTGCCAATATTATTGCATATTATATCGTCTTTGGGTGTTAACACAGGCCTGTAGTCTTGCATACATCCAATTGTACAGGTGGCAAAATGTTATTCCATACACCTTGCACCTATTAACACAATACTAGGTGTAATAGCAAAATTGTCCAGATTGTCTAACAGCATAATTATTAATCCCACAAAATGTTTAATATCTAAAAAAACAAAAAAACACTAAACTAATTGAGTTTTTTTTCCAGGTAAGACATTTAGCCATCTTGACACCATTTTTCATAAGAATCATTGAAAACCCCTTTGAGTTATTCAGCCAGAAAGAGAACAGGTTAAAATTGTTTTGTGTCAGCTCCACTGTCTTTTCAACTGAATGGTGAGAGGAAAAAGATCATTCAGGCCTTCATTAATGGTACCAACATTCATACTCTGGCTTCTATCTTCAAAGTCCATACAAGAACCATCAATGGAACAGTGAATAAGTTTAAAAAAGAGGGAATAGTAAAGAGGAAAACTGGATCAGGAGGTCACAACAGGATCATCATTTTAACTAAGAGCTAAAGGATCAGTTAGAAAAGATCCAACTCAATTCATAAGATGTTTGGCACGTGAAAGAGTAGTTTCAGCTATGACAGTTCAAAGGGCAGTGAAAAAAGATTTGAAAATGAAATTGTATGTGAAACCTGTGAGATAACTTGTTACTCCAGGACAGAAAGTTAGAAGGTTAGAAGATCCTCTTGAATAAGTTGGAAAATGATCCTGGAATAATATATATATATATATATATATATATATATTTGAACTTTATGTCAATCCTTCAAGAGTTTTTAATCCTTAGTTATGATTAATTAATGATAAACATGTCATATTTGTTTATGATCAAATTCATCAGGATACTTCTGTTAAGCTTGGAGAGCAATTATATACTCTTATTGCTCAGAGTAGAGCTCAATAGTGTTATAAAAATCTCAGAGAATTCCAGTAAGATATCTTTAATCATTTCTAAGATGCAATGGTTCAAAGCTTAATCTAACAAATGGACAGTTTTACTTTTACATGATTTGGATAATTTTGCTGTTACACCTGGTACAACATGAGTTGTAGGAGTAGAATAACTGAATGAATCACAGGTATTGTTCCATCATGTTCCAGACGTGTTCAATTAAAGACAGGTTTAGTGATTATGTAGGCCAGTTAATTTGTTGAACATCTTGATGAGTATGTTGAATAGTATGGGTGTTATATGGGTGGGCATTATTCTACTGGAACAGCAAATCAGAATTCTGTTGCAGGAATGATAGTAGAACAGGTTGAACAGTGTGCTGGATGTCCATGGCACTGTTCTGGATGTCCATGGCACTGTTCTGGATGTCCATGGCACTGTTCTGGATGTCCATGGCACTGTTCTGGATGTCCATGGCATTGTTCTGGATGTCCATGGCACTGTTCTGATGTCCATGGCACTGTTCTGGATGTCCATGGCACTGTTCTGGATGTCCCACTGTTCTGGATGTCCATGGCACTGTTCTGGATGTCCATGGCACTGTTCTGGATGTCCATGGCACTGTTCTGGATGTCCATGGCACTGTTCTGGATGTCCATGGCACTGTTCTGGATGTCCATGGCACTGTTCTGGATGTCCATGGCACTGTTCTGGATGTCCATGGCACTGTTCTGGATGTCCATGGCACTGTTCTGGATGTCCATGGCACTGTTCTGGATGTCCATGGCACTGTTCAATGTTCCCTTCACAAGTAGTAAAGGTGCTTCACACCATGATGACAGAGTTTAGACCTGTGCCTGGAAGATGCTGCTCCCCAGTTTTACATTGCACACTTAAATAGTGTCACTTGCAGAACCTGCTCTAATCACTGAATACTACAGAATCACTTCCCAGTGAGCATTTCTGACACTAATGGAGACTTGCATGTAGCATGAGTGGAAGTCTGGTTTGAGATTTGCATGTTTCAAATAAACAATTCCTAATTTGTTGACAGTTCTGGAACCAGATGTTGTTTGTATTGTGGATGCTGTGTGGTCAGCTTCTACTGCCTTTACAATGTTTCAATCTTGTTGAACATTTGTACTGTGTAGCCATCCAGAACCTGGTCTATATGTGTAGCTATCCAGAACCTGGCCTATATGTGTAGGAAATTTCATTTGACCACTGTTGCCAACATCAAAACACCATATCCAACATGTGCAGCAATTCTCTGAAATGGCCATTCAGCCTTTCAAAGGCTTACCATTTGACTTTAATGAATAAAAGGATAAAATGTATCGCTCCATGGCATGACACCTGGATTCCTTCACCTACAAATGAGTCTTACTTCAATATATGCACTGTTTAGATAAAAATGGTATGCTGATATGAATGCTACTCTCACAAGATAGACAATGACTGTGAAAGTTTTATTAGAATTTCAATTATCCACAAGTCTACTCAGATTGTACCCAAGTCAAAATTTGCATTTGCATTGCAAAGTGTTTCAATTTTATTTTCCATCAATATGTGTAGATTATTATTATTGGCAGTTTGTTATTATATAATTATATATTAGTGGTTGTTGTATGAGTTTTACTTTTGTTTTAAACTAGGGCACCCCACAAGTCACCGAGCATTTTGTTGATTCTAAGAAAGATGTAGATGCTGAGCTGAAAAAGAATTGTGAAGAATTTATACGTCACATCACAGACTATTTCACTGAACCACTCAAGTCTTTCCTGACGAAGGTGAATTTTTTTTCTACATTTTCTTTGTAAATCATTCAGAAGATTAATTTCAAATTTCATGAGATTTCAGGGAATTTTCCAATTACCCTAAAATGCATAATTTATTGTTAAACAAAAACTGTTTAAGATCAACAAAGATGTCATTTTTTATCAATATAACTTATTGAGATCTTTATTGTGAGAAATTCAGTTTTAAGGTATCATTAGATTAGTATCTTTACTTTTGTTGTTTGGATCAATGTTTTTTATACAGTGGGTTTTCTGGTCATTATTAAGTAGGTATCTCAAAAAACAAAAAACAATACCTAAAGTTTAAAAGGAATTTTTAAAAATGAAAAATTTTTCTTGAAGCTTTTATTTTAGTTTTAATTTCTAGCTAATAGATTAAATTTAATATTTTCAATAACCAAAATACTTTACTGTATTTCAAAAACTAATTTAAATTGACTGGAAGGAGTTTTTTGTTTCTTTTGCTAAAATAGCTGATTAGCCACCTTATTTTAGCTGTCTTTCATTGCAATGTGATTATCTTATTTAAACTATAATTAATCTGATTTGAAACAAATATTATTTATTTTAAGTTTGAAATAGCACAGAAAGCATTTTTTAACCAGACAGTAGCTGTTTATTTAAGGCTTAGACATATTGATGACATTGATATTTATCTAATGTTGTTCTTTGGTGGCTTTAGGCATGAAAAAAGTAATTGAATTAATGTGAGCACCTTTTATATATAATTTTTAAGTACTTACTAATTTTAAAAATTCAAGAAAATATTCTACATAATCTAATGTTTTATTGAATTTTAAATATTTTTGGCTGTAAATTTATTTTCTGATAATGTTGTGTATGATTGACTTTATAGAGAAAATTAGCATGTTTATGCACATAAAAAAAAAATTCTTTTAAAACTATTAGTGTTTCATGATTTGTACTAAGCGTTTCAATTTGTGATTAGTAAATATAGTTTTCACTTAATAATAATATCATCTAAAAGGGACAAATTAAGACAGAATTTTAAATAATATTAAAAAATATTTAAAACTTAAGTTATTCTAATTAGAATGTAAAAAAATTAAAAGCAAATCTTGTAAAAATTCATTATTCACAGAAAAAATTTTTTTTCTTAAGACAATAGTGTCCTTAATATATCTTATTTATAAAAACAATTAAAAGCTTTTATAATTAAATAATTTCTTTGTTTGATTGCATTTTTTATTTTATGATTCAGAGCAGATTTTTGGTAAATGAGTCACTGTTTGAAAAAAAAAAAAAAAGAAATTGATAATTTACATTCTCTAAGGAATCCTGCTTTCTTTTAACTAATATGAATATGAAATGGGACAAAATTTTTGGAAATTACTTAATTAAGTAAGGCAGGATAACAAATGTAAAAAAATATTTCTACCAAGATTTTCTAAAAAAAAATAATTTCTAAAATAATTTTATTCATTTGTGAATAAGTCTTAAAACTTTCATTAAAAACTGACAATTATTTGATTTTTGCAAGAATTTTCAAGCCAATGTTTTTTTTACCACAAAAAAGACACTAAAATTTCCTATACTAATCTTTCCTCTCCCCCCTCCCCCGCTAACACAAGAAAAACAAGATTTTTAACCAAAAATTTGAATGTGCTAGAAAGGATAAAAAAAAAAAAAAAAATACTTTGGTCTTTCTTCTTAATAATAACAAATATTTTGACAATAAAACTTTGTTTTTATCAAATTTGGGGCCTTTTCCATCATGATATGCTCTTTTTTTCAGTGAATTATTGGAAGTAGCTGGAAGTAGTGATCATTATTTTGACTGCTATCTTTACTTTTGCTGTCTTGGTCACTGCATTTTTTTTATATAGTGGGTTCTCTGGGGTCTTTATTAAGTGTCATCATCACTTAGACTAGTGTCTTTACTTTTGTTGTATTGATCACTGTGTTCTTTATACAGTGGGTTCTCTGGGGTCTTTATTATTAAGTATGTCTTAGATATCATAATTTTTTTTCACTCTTATTCTTTATTTCCCATACTACAAATAATAATCTGGTTTGTGTTAATTTCTGTTGAAACCCCTTATTATTTATTTGATAAGCTAAACTAAATGCAATATCCCATAATATTTATAAAATAAAATTAAATTATAAAGTTTGTGATTTAGTTTGAAAAATCTAGTTATTTTATTAAGACTAAATCTAGTTATTTTATTAAGACTAAATCTACTTAAAAAAATTGTTTGGCATTTCATTACCATTGTAGAGGAGTCAATGTGCCACGAAATTATATTTTTGTTTGGTACTCTGTGAACATTACATATTTATTTACTAAGCACAACTTATTCTGGAACCAGGCTTCAATATTTGAGCCACTGTGAGACTTGAACTCTTGACACTAATAAGTTGTTTTTGGGGAGGCAGATAGTTCTCATTCCACTATGTCCATGTCCAGGGATTTTTCATCTTGTTCTTATTTTACTATTGCTCAGTTATTGCTCACCATATTTCCACTGAGTCCAAGGACACACATTGAACTCTACCCCTGTAGATAAAATAAAGGGTTCCATTTGAAATTTCCTGAAGGTTACCTGGATCGACAATCACCTGATGAAGGCTGTAGGGGACAACAACCGAAATGTGATAATAACAATAAAGATGGGAAGAATAGTCCACATGTAAATAATGATAACTTCTCATTGCAGAAATTAAGATATTATGTTTCTGTTTGGTAGTATTATATGACCAATATACATAAGTCACTGTACTGTCAGACTATATTCATTAGTTTGTCATTGGTTTTGACTTATTGATTAAAGAGTTAATAACTTGAATAGGTTTCAGTAATAACAATTTTTCTTTGTTTCAGGCAAATGTTATAGTGAATATGAATAAAGAAGAAGGTGCCCAGAAAGTGTCTGTGCGGAACCAGCCATTTGCTGTGGCTGAAAAATTGCATGACGTTGTTGCTGAAAGTTATAAAAACCTTAAAACAAGGCTCCCTATTGTCCGACGTAGTATGTCCCTCTATTTAGCCAATAAAGACACTGAATACATTCTTTTCAAGCCAATTAAGGTAAGGATAATTATTAATAAATATTTGAAAATATGAGAATGTTTTTCCCATTTTTAATTTTCCACATTTTTTTTTCATTATTATAAATCATAAGCTACACCACATGTAGTAAATTTGTTGCTATAAGTATATCTATGGTTGCATTTATTTTAGATCTTAGGAAGCCAAGTGTGGCAGACTTCACCACATTAATTTAACTTAGATTAGGAAACCAAACAGAGGTGAAGAAAGGATAAGCCAAAGACATCATTACACATAAAATATATATTTAACAAGATGTATAAACAAGGATGTAAAAGAAGGCATGCATTGAGTAAAACAAGAGTTGTCTCTCTTTAACTATTATTTGCATTCCAAAGTTCACTGAAAGACAGAAAGTTTGTGATAGTTTCTGATAATAAATGTTTTCAACAGTTTTGCTGTGTAAGGAAAAAGATTATGTGAGTGTAAGGAATATTCAGCATGTGAGTGGTGGTGTGAGTGAGAAGACTGGCACATTGTTTCAACTGTCGTGGATGTGTTTGGCAACTTAAATCTCACTAAGAATATTTCTTGCTTATATAAGCTTTGGCTAAGAATAGTTTTTCCTCTTGTCTTTTTATTCATTTTGTTCCTTTCCTATCTGAAAATAATTTACATATCTCTCTCTCTCTCTCTCTATATATATATATATATATATATATATATATATATATATATATATTTATTTTAGGATATTAAAACAAAAACGTTCAAAATTACTACACAATGGCAATTATGTTTTGACACTACAAATGTGTCTCTTTAAGTGATGGTAAGCTATTGGTGACTGAACAATTGATTTTATTTCAAAAGAAGAAATACTTCCCCTGTTTTTTTGAGAAGACATGTAACATGTTTTTGTTTTAATATCCTAAAATAAATAATATTTAGCTCTATTCTGTATTGAGCTCTCTTTTAAATTAAATATTACAGACTGTGGAATTATACTCCATTTGTTCTCATTTTACCTGGATATATATATATATATATATATATATTGAAAAAATTCTTACAGGTACAAAAATTTTATTATGGCAAGAATAAGCGGAAATAAAAGGACATAATTATGAAAACTAAGAACTAAAACAAACAACGGTTTCGTCCCAGTACTCCTCAAGTTTGATACACAAAAATTATTTAATCATAAACTTAAAACAAAAAACCATTCAATTCATTTTTTTTTTTTTTTTTTTTTTTCAATCCTCATTGAATGTTTTTTTTTTTTTTAAGTTTATGATTAAATAATCCCAGTGTATGAAACTTGAGGAGTACTGGGACAAAACCGGTTGTTTGTTTTAGTTCTTAGTTTTCATAATTATGTCCTTTACATTCCGCTTATTCCTTGCTATAATATATATATATATATATATATATATATATATATATATATAATTTTTATATATATATATATATATATATATATATATATATGTTCATGTTTTCATATATGAACATGTTCATATATGTTTATATTTTTGTGAGCTGCAATGCATGAATGTGAGTGTATGTGCATCTGTATACTTATGAGTGGCATTCCAATGACAATTTTTCCTCCTGCTACCATGAAACACTGTTATACGCAACCATAAATAAATCCAAAATATCAAAATTAATCAGTTTGACAATCACAAAGGGTATGAAACCCAAGGTCACAAACTCACATTAATCCAACTAAATATATATATATAAATATATAAATTCTAATGTTCACAGCATTATTTCAAAAGAGGACTCAATACTGACAGTAGAGCAATATTTATAATTTTATGTGTGTATATATATATATATATATACATACACACACACACACACACACACACACACACACAGAGTGCGATGGATAAATTGTCATCTAAATTATGCAAAATGGAAACACTGACATCTTATTTTAACATATATATTTACCAAAATTACACAAAAATATTTTGAACTACTAAAGAGTGAATTTATTCAATAAAATCACTATTGGCTTCAATAATGGCCTCCAGAAGATTTCCTGTTGCTAGAATTTTCCAGCAGCTACCCTCTTTATCCAGGGCATCACTACCTTCTCAAGACATTTGATGTAGACCTCCATGTTGAGTCTGAGACTGCATAGGAAAATGAATGAAGGCATAATGTTGCCATCACTAGTGATCACTCTAAACACCTTCATAATCACCATTAGACTCATCCAACTCTTTCTGAATCCTCTGCACTGTCCTCAGATTGACACCCAAACACTCTGAAATGTTTGTATTGGAGCTTCTGGTACAAATGCCAACCAGTACAGAATGCCATTTCTAAATTTCTAGTGGAGTGAATTATTTTTCTCACAGACAGTGCCCAACTGACCTTACTATACTGTACCGTTGACAAAAAGAAACAATGTGCATGTGCAAAATTAAAAATATAAAATGGTGACAGTTTAGCCATCGCACCCTGTATGTATGTGTGTATATATATATATATATATATATATATATATATATATATATTCATGCATAAATGTAATCATTTATACTTATATACATTTAAAATGTATTATTAAAATTTAATTTAACATACATTTATTTATATATTTTATAGATAAATAAATTATCTTATGAATATTTTAAATACATTTTTATAGTGTTTGTAATATAAATCAATTTTATATAAAACAAAACACACACACACACACAATATATATATATATATATATTTCCCCAATTTCAGGTCAGTGTGCAACAAAATTACCAGCAATTATCTCAGCTTCTCTCAGCTGAATATACCAGTGAAGATGAACAAATTGTAGCCTGTCCTTCTGCTGAACAGGTAACAGCTATCATTTTTTTTTTAAATTATAAAGCCAAGCTGCTGCTTCAGTCACCTTCTTTTGAGAAAGCATTAAAGAATAGTCTGCTACATAATCACCTCAGCATAAAAGGCAACTACATTTTTATTTGTCTAAATCCTCATATATTTACATTATTTGTTTGCTTCTTGTTGATGAATAGTCTTGCTGAGTTTCACTCTTATAATCACTTCAAATATTATTTTGGAGAGAAATAAATTGTTTTTTTTTAATGTTTTATTCATCTGATAATTATAGAATAAATGGATCAGTTCATTGTACAAAAATAGCAGCACAGATGAGGCTGAGTTTATATCTAGGATTAAACCAGAAACCTCTTGGTCTGCATTTAAATACTTTTCCATTTTTCTTATAAGACAACAGATGATTTTTCTACATAGCTTTCAAGATATCTTTTCTGTAACAGTATTATGGAACAAAGTCCCAAGAAGACGTTTCTCTGATTGCTACAATCATGGCCTCTTCAAGTCAAGGGTCAATCATTATCTATCCTACATATTCTCATAATATGCACCCCTAAGTTGCTTCCTTGTATGCCCTTACACAATCCTCATTTTGTAACCCTCTACGTTGAATGGGTTTTGGGCCTTGTATTGGGTGAACAATAAAAAAAATGTGCTGAAATATTTGCTGAATTAAATCTAGTTAGTCCCAAGGAGTATACAATAAGACCCAAACCAATATTGATGAGATAGATTGTGAGATAATTATTCTAATCTTTGTACTAACAATGATGCTTGGTATTGATGAGGTAGACATTCTCTAAACCAGTGGTTCCCAACTGATTTTGGGCCATGCCCCACATTGCTATTGCTAAAATTCTGGTGCCCCCTCCCCCTATAATATTTAATTCTTACATATTCAAGATTTTACGGTAATTTACTTGAAAGAAGCTTAAAAGGCCATTAACTTGGTCTCTAAACAAGCCTCCAAAGACCATGGCGTCCATGAAAGAGAAAAATTAAAAAAATAAAAGACAGTTAAATATATATAGTTTCAAAACATATAATAGAGAATTGAAAGGCAGTAATATAAAATATTTGAATGAAAGCTTATTCTGTAATATACTTTGATCATTTTAATCATGAAATAATAATAGAAAATTAAATTTGAGCTCACTAGAAAACAATTCACTGTTAATAACTCATTCTTGGATTGCCTACTTATTCTGTTGGTATATTAAGCTGAAGGGTGCACATCCTATGCATGCCTTGCCAAAATATTACCATGCCCCACTGGTGGGGCATGCACCTCACGTTGGGAATCATTGCTCTAAACTAATTTTGACAAAGCTTACAATAATGGGAACACTCATTGATGATATTAGACACCCTGGCTCTGGTAAAGAATTTACAAGATTAATCTTTTGATTATAACACATCTGCAGCTGCCCAGAAATGTGAATCATATAAATGTTAAAACTTCACAATTATTTGATTTTTTTTTCTTGTTTACTGTTTCCTCCTTTTTTCTTTTTGTTGTGGTTTTTAAGTTCTTTCCTATTTTTTTCTCTCCCAGATCAACCTACTGCTGTCTCCCACAAAATGAATTGAAGAAACATTTGTGAAGAAAAAAAAACAAACTTTCTTCTTGTGATGAGTCCCCATACTTTCTAGGGTATTGGGTTTCTCAAAATGTTGGAACTCTCAACCTTTTCCATGTGTAATCAAGAGGAAGCTAAACTTCAGGATCTGTTTGCTACAAACAAGCTGATTGGTTAACAAAAAAAAGTAAACTTTTCATTGGTTGGAAATCTTTGACTTGATTTTTTGGTATATTATTTGGTTAATCAGCTTGATGAAGAGGCAACTCCAAAAATGGAAACAGATTCTCTTAACATTTTGAAAAAGGAATGGTCATTTTTTTAATTGATCTAATATTTTCAATGCACTTGTTAATCTTTCTAAAACTGTAATAATGAATTTCATTAATGAAGCTTGGAAACCAGCCAATGAGAAGGATTTTCCATCTTCAAAAAATTATGACTTGATATGTTTCCTTGATATGACTTGATATGTTTCCATCTTTTATAAGAAGGAAAGGATATCAAAATGAAATAAGACGTTGTGCAAGTGCTGCAGCTGGATATTTCTTTTTCCGTATTTTCTATTCGCATTAAAATATACTTTTGGGATTTGGTTAATATTTTCCTGCAAATATGAAAAGAGACTATTAAACCTGTTAAAAATATTTTAGAAGTACATATTTAAAATACAAGGTTAAGTAGATATCGGAATAATAATAAAGTAGATATCAAAATAATTTTGCAGCTCTGAGGTTTTGAGCCTTTCATTGAAAATCCTGTATATAAAGCAAAAATCATTACAAATGAATGTGTGTGTTTGTGTGTCTGTGATTGAATGCTGAAACATTAGGCAGTCTTGTGTGTATATATATATATATATATATATATAATTAAAAAGACATCTATCTAGATAAGTAAATGATATTACCAAACAGATGGTACAAGGAAATTTAAAATATAGACAGATGATTTAATGCAAATAGAAAAGAAAGAAAATTTATAGTCTAAATACTCTATTTTGTTCTAAGAGGAATTAAGTTTCTTTTTGAATTTTTATTTTTAACCTTTGAACAATTATCAATTAACCATATTTATCCAGTCCAGTCTTTACAAGCTAATTCTTTTAAACTGCCTGCTTACAAGGTGTATGTGCGTGTATATATATATATATATATATATATATATATATATAGAGAGAGAGAGAGGAAGTAGGATTAATACAAATAAAAAAATTGTCACTTAGCTGATTGATGCTATATTCAGCACCCCAACTCCAGAGTTTTGAGGACAAACTTTTTTGTAATCATTTGGTCCACTCATCAGGAGGTTTCAGCAACACATTTCGTATTACTATAAATGTTCTATTTAGTGGGTACACATGTTTGAGTAGACCTCTCTGTTTTTTTTTTTTTAAACAGTGAAATTAATGTCTACCATCCGAAAGATTGTTTAGAAAAACTTTTGATCTCTGATCTGCTAGACATTAATTTCACTGTTTGAAAAATACAAAACAGGGATATCTACTCAAACACATCCACCTTAACCATCGCCTATAACTCACCAGAGTTGTAGAGGCACTGCATAGTGGTGTACTTCAACAAGAAGCCTCAACTTGATCTTTGGCATCTTTGCCTTCCACTATTCCAATGGTGTTGGAGACTGATCGCGATCTAGTTACATGGCCATACCACTTCAGCTACCTCTTCTTTATGGTGGTCAACACGTCTTTATAGCCTGATGATCCACTCTTTTGAGCATATCTTCATTCATGACATAGTCAGTGAAGAAAATACCAAACAGACACCTGACATATCTCTGCAGTTATGACCCACCTTTGGAGTTCTTCTTTCAGAGTCCATGACTTGAATGTCTGCAGGAGAACCAAGAAGATGAAGGGCATGCAACAATCTCAGTTTATATTTGAGGTTGAGCTTTTTGTCCTTCCAGATTGGCTTCGACCATGTCATCGCAACTGTTATCAATGTAAATTCTTACTTTGACTTCTGGCTTGGATCTATTTTGGCTGATGATTGCACCAAGGTATTTGAATTGTTTCATTGTCTCCAGGTTCTTTGTTTGAACTTTCATCATGCAGAGTATCTTGAGTTGATGAAGCCTGGTGGAACCTATTCCTCTCCTGGCCAGGTCACAGCCAACTTCCTCTGATATCTGGGGGAACGCCTTGACCTTGGACATATGGCCTCAATCATTTTTCTGGGAACTCCATACCCTACATTTGTAGCAAGGTCCTATGCCCAGTGGTACCATGTCAGCACCAACCCCTCCTGTCATTTAGTATGCCTTCTGAAAACAAAGTACTGAGGTGAGTCAGACATAAGAGGATAGAGAAGGCCCTGTGCACCTGTCCTTCCGATGCTCAGGTAGAAGCAGTCAGGCTACAAGAGTGCTACTTCTCTTCAGAGCCTGACATCCCACTCAAACATATATATACCCACTAAATATAATGTTTATAGTATTAAAAAATAATGTTGGATTGAAAAGTCCATCAATTGCAAAAATATATAGATCATTTTTAAGGCTGAAATGTGACAAAAACAATGATATGGAAACTGGTGAAAACAAATCAATTAAAAATGCCACATCTAAGAAATTTAGGCAAATAAAATATTCTGTTCTATGTATAACACACAATAATAATTCAGATGTTATCTAAAAATTTTGACACATTTTTTGCCTGACCCCCTATTTCAAATAGTTAAAAAAGAGAGTTAACAGTTTTGATAATCTTTTCAAATGTTGCATCAAACAACATTTTTGTTTGTTTTTGAAAATTTAAAATTGATTCTCAAATATGAGCTGGGATAAATGTAAGCATCAATTTAAAATCCCAGATTTCCAATAACATGTCTGTGAAATGTATTTATTAACCATATTGGTTTGTATTTTGGTTTAAAAATGAAATGAAAAGTTTTGAATTTCCTGCTTTTCAGCTAAGGAATTATTTAATATCTGTACTTGAAACAATAAGAGATTCACTTAAAACATTTTGTTGAATTGATTCACATTTTGTAAATGCAGACAAATGGTAAAAAATTTATAAACTTCAAAGCCTTTATAGGGCTGGATTGGATTGATAGATGAAGAAACTGGTGCTTAATTAAAACAAAAAAAAAAAACAATGTTATCCCTCTTTTAGCAGTCAGTTGATTACTACCCCCAACTCCCAAAAAATCTATGTGCTCTTAATCTCACCTTTGGAAACTCAAATATTGATCAGATGACTACATTTTTCAAGAGATTCTGTTATAACTGTTTTTTCTTGTTTTCTTTTTAATACCTATTATCCTTATAAGATTACCTAGATAAGGTTAAACAACATTAGTTGTGTCCCATATGCAACCACTTAACTGTTTTAAATGTAAGAGGTTTTAAATGAAAACAGTAAAAGATATGTTCCTCAGATCTGTTTTGAGATGCCTCCCGTTGTTGACTGTTATTTCAAATTGATAAGGTTTGTGTGGTTGATTCTTCATTGGCCAAAAAAAAAAACATTAGGACTATCCCATAATTTAGTAGGGATTAATCTTTTAATGTTGAAGGGTTCTTAAGGTATTTTTTTTCTCTCTTATTTAATTGTGGGATTTTTTTTTTCAATATGGAAAAAAATGGTTGCTTATGACATGTTAAAAAGGAATCAGAGCGGGGGAAAAAAACTCTTGAAAATTTGGAGGGAGGAATCAACTCATTAGGCTTCTTTTTATCAATTTCAAATTTGGTCTAAGAAGAATTTTTTATATTTCTATTCTTTTTAACCTAGTGTGTTATTTGATCATTGTCACTGACACACACACACTATTGTTGCGTGTTCTTCATGTGATTTCACTTATTATTTATACTCCTCAGCTTCTACACTTATATATTTAATATAGACTCATCATCATGAAGTGTATGTAGGGCACTAAGGATCTGATAGTGTCCTTGGCTGTATAGAAAACATGCTAATTTATACATCTTTATTCTTTAAAATATTAGATAAAAAAATAATTTTCATTTTTTTTTTCCTTTTAAAAAATCCTTTTTATTATTGTTATTAATTATCATCTTTTTTTTTCTGTTTGTAAAATAAAAATTAAATATTTTCATGAAATTTTGTAAATATAACATTTTTAGGAGGATATTTTTTTTGTCATTTTGGATTCTTGACTGGATCAAATAATGGTAATCTTTTTTTTGCTTTTGAATTTCATTCAAAAACTGTGATTGAAAAAAAGAGTTTTTAAAAAATACACAGTGATGGAGAATATGAAAAAAAAAAAAAGAAAATCTTTTTTTAAGAAATAAAATTAAAATGATTGATGAGAATTGTTGTCTTATTTTTAACTTAATTACTGCTTGGAGAATAATTTTGCTCATAGACAAGAGTTTTGTATCAGAATAATGACTTCTGTTTTTCCTGGACTTTTTTATTTGGCATTATAGTTGTGATAAGAGGTAAATATATTTTTAATGAAAATTATTCTTCAACTCTACCTGAAGATACAAATTTTAAACTCCTTTTTCTCACCTGTCTATATCCTGTTTTTTTTTTTTCTTTTATTCTTTAACTTTTTCTTTTTTCGTTATGGCAATGAATGATGAACAATTGCTACTACAGTTGCTTGGACCCATATATTGTATGAAAAGTGGAGAATCTGTTCATGTATTGCTTGATTGTATAATTCTTATATTTTGTGGCTTACCTGGATTTTATTGATTTGATTTCAACAGTTGAAAGACAATGGCTGATCTTGTCTGTAGATTTGATTTTTTTAAATATATCAGGAATATAATTAGCCACCTGGGGCATCTGGAATCCATTTTCTTCCAGAAAAAACTTGAATTAGTTAATGGATTGTGACTTTTTGCTCATAAATCATTGTTTTTTTTTTTCCAGAAGTATCCTCATTATTTCTAACTCATAAGTTGACATTTCCAATTTGACTATTTCTTTCTCTTTCTAGCTAAGGGGATATTTTTACAATCAGTTTAAACAAACTTTTACACCCTAGTGCAAATTAATTGA